GTGTGGGTGTGGGTGGGTGGGTGTGTGTGTGTGTGTGTGTCAGAAGCAGGGCACACCAAGAGGCCTGGCACCCGAAGTTCCATGAGGTTCCGAACCTCAGCAAGCTTTGGGAACTGCGGAGCTCACTTCGGTCTTTTACTGGCGGATGTGTGTCTCGGCTTTGCAAGCTAAAACAGCGCTCTCACAAAAGGACAGACCTGTACGTAAAATGTGAGCCTTCCCGCAGGCGGCAAAACGGGAAATGTTGGGCAGCAACACTGAACACTCTGTCAACTCTGGCCCAAACGGGCATGCTCAAACTACCCAAAGAGGCGCATACACAGACACCTGAACAAAGCCTGTCCAAGCTAGGAGGCCTGATCACTTTTGAATGTGCTACGCCCTGGTTGGGCTGAATTTTTGGCAAACACATGCATCATCGCGGGCGGGTAGAAAAACATTGCGGGCAGGAGAACAGCTGGAAGCCCTCATTTCGACACAGGTTGACTGCTGGAACCCGAGCTTGCATGAACCGTTGAACCACCTGACGGCTGAGGGACCATCCCACCCACCCTGAGCTTAGAGCAACCCAAAAGTGGGCTTGTGCTCTCTGCTGAGGAAACTTCCGGCTGAACCAGAATCAGGGGAAGTTCAAGGACTTTCGGGCATGAACCTCTTCTCACATTGTGCTTCAGCCGCGCTAGGGGCAGCTTCTCCAATGAAATGGCCAACTCACCCGGGAAAAACATGCCGTCAGTCCAAATTGAAACACCCTCAGTTTCAGGTTGTTTGCCACTGAGGTGCTCGGTGGCCAATTCGCTTCCATGCAGGGGCCGGGGCCCCCGGCACCGGCAGGCACGTTCACCCGAATCTCCCTGGGCATCATCCTGGTGCTCTCCCCGTTGCAGCCCCGGCAGGGGTGGTCCAAGACCTCAGCGGCGATTTTGATTGAAGGCTCGAAGTCATTTGGCCTTGGCATGGCCGGGCTCACTTTTGTAGGTGTTCTAAATGATTGGGCCCTTTTGTGGGTATCAAAGCCATTCGCCTCACTATTCATGGTCCATCCAAAGTATGTGGGCATTCACTCATTGGTTGGACCCTTTGCCTTGACGAGATATGGGTACCAAAATTTCAAACTTAAGAGCTTAAAAGGTCGGATTTGGATAAGTGAGTCACTAGGGACCTCAGTGGTTTCTAAATTGCCTGGCTCCCGGACCCTCCCTAGCCCAATGGGTCATTTGACCATGGCCATCAGGTTGAAAGTGTCGAAGGGTAGGGCACCTTCTGAACTGGCCATCAGACATCAGAAAGCAAGCGGATTTGTGTCCACCAACCAGCCTCGCTCAAAAAAGTCATCGTCACGTAACTGCTGCCCAAATGTGCTAGTTGGTATTGAGCCAGGCGCCTTTCCTTTACAGGCATCTTGAGGAGGAAGATGTCTCGCTTCACGGGTCCAAGGGTCTGGGTGAGTCAATAGGGTTGAATTGTCTGAACGTCTTCTGGTCAATGAGAGGCCCGCTTTCAAAGAGATGCACGAGACGCGGAGCTCCTTGGACTGAGAAGCAAGAAATATGGTTGAGATGCTCAGGTTCCAGTCTCTCCTAGGGGTCGCTGCGCACGAGGCAAGGCGTAGTGTGGGTGCAGAGCGTGCGCAGTGGCTGAGCAAAGTGATACGCACCTGAATAGAATAGGGACAAACCGGACTCTCGCGAACAACGCCCGTCATGACACTGGATGGCGGGAGCCTCTGGGAAGACTCGAACTGTTCGTGGGGGCGAGGCTTCGTGATCTAAATTCGAGAGAAGACGCTAGGCCCTAGACTCCAGAATTCTATCCCGCAAATCTCGGAGCAAGCCCAAACCTCCCATCCCTCAACCCACGAAATCCCTTTACCTAAACCCCAAACCCAAAACCGAAGCCCGAAGCTTTCTTTAATTCCGAGTTCCCACCTAGGACCTGCCATCCGCAGCCTAAACCACACAATGGCCCTGCAAGCGGTGAGTCATGCACTACATTGCCCCACATCAACCATCAATCTAACAAATCCCTTGCGAGTGTAACGCTTCAGGCGACAAGCATCGACTTCAAAGCGGGCCACTTTTCGAGGCCGTGGCCACGCCACGGCTGCGGCACCGCTGACAGGGCATGCCCATGCTCAGGATCCCTTGCTCCTTGCATGGTTCCTTCGCTCGCAAGTAAGACCGGGGTTAGGTTTAAGGGTTTAAGGGCAGGGTTGCTAAACCACATTCCTTGCTTCAAACCATAGCAAAAATCGCCAAACCGTTTCAACTGTCGGTCTTTTTGGCAGGATTAACCTTTGACCAGCGCAGCTCCTTGCGCTGCACCCCGGTACCCTTGCACACCTCGGGTGATGGGTGCGCCAGCCAGTTGGGGGCTGGCTCCGAGCGACTGACCAGGATGCGTCTCACGTATTTAAGACGAGTACTGAGCAGTGGCTCAAATGACTTGGTGACAAACAATTCGGGCTGTTGAGGGAAGCCTGAAAAACATGTCGGCAGGCACAGAATCCAAATTCAATTGACGTCTACAAAAACAATGCCCAACATCACTGGGGAGTTTGTTCAGACGGTTCAAGGGCCGCACATCGCCAGTGGGGGAGTCACTTCATGAGCCGAACGGGGTCAAGGTTCATCCCGGCCAGTTTCCGAGAAATCAAGGGAGACTCCGCTTCCCGTGGAGTATGCAGCATGTTGCGCTGCAATGTGTGGTTGTTCGAGGCTGACCAGTTTGGTCGGCTGGTTTCCTCTGATGGCTTTTGAGGTTCCACATCTCAAATTTCAGCAGGGCATCCTGCAAGGGTGTGGGCGACTAGCAAGTCGAATAAGGATTATGTTCATTCGCACTTCGAGCAGGAGACAACCAATGCAGGGTGTCCCCAAAGCAACCCAAGGACTCATCGCAGCATTGCCGAGCTCCGCACTCGGCACTTTGACCAGGTGGTACCCTCACGTGCCCCACTGCCACGGCAGTCCGGACAGGTCTGGCAGGGCCGTGGTAGCTGGACCGAGGGCTTAAGAGAACCCTGCAAATCAACATGAACCCTGCAAATCAACTTGGAATCCAAAACATGGAATCCAAAACGTCCTCTACGAATGCTTTTTAGGTTAAACGTTCATCTGCGGGAGATGATTCCAAAACGAGCGGGTTTAGCCACCCATACCTTTTGAGCAAAGTGAAGGTGAAGTGTGGAAGGAGGCCCCTGGCACCTACGTGCATCTACATCACCAAAACAAAAGTGTGCCCGCTTGGAGGGACAAACCTTCTGCCTCCTGAAGTTCCAAAGAAACGTGAATGACCCTCTCTGAGTGAGGACCTCCATCATGGGTGAGCCAATCTTGAAGGCTCCCCAAACCTACCACCGACGTTGCAATTCGGTGGTTTGCCTGGCTGATGCTTTGGCCGATTTGTTTCCCCCTTCGCCACCCCAAAAGCCAACCATCTGCACTTACTATCACCCAGCCCGCATTCCTTCAGGAATCCCTCGAGAACCCGCACGCATGGGTGTCCACTCCCAGGCACCTGCTTCAGCCGCAGGGAGATCATCTTCTCGCAGCCCTGCGCGGCCTCCGAGTTCGAGGCTCCAAGTGCGCTTCCCGACGGCTCTGTGCTAGGAAGCCCCCTTCTGACCCGAATCATCGGGCCAGCCAATGGCTCTTGCGGGAATGACCCCTTTTTCTTTTGAAGGGACGTGGAGAGTGTAAGCAGTTCACCTCAACGGGATGTTGTCTGGCACGGTGGAAGGACCCCAGTCCCCACAAGTGATCAGAAATGGAAAAGCTGGCCACTTCCACAGGAAGCACTCCGTTGCAAGCAAAAATGGCTCTGCAACTGCCCATATGGAGAGATAGCAGCTGGGCACAGCAGCACAGAGTTTCGAGTTTCTGATCTGGAGCATCAAACATATCACACATGGATCCCCGGCAAAGGGCGGGGCGACTTACGCCAAACCAACACAACCGATGACCAACCCACATTGGCTGCCAAACTGCCTCCAGGAAAGAGATCTCCACGTTGGTGCTCACGTCCTCTGGCTGAACCCAAAACAGGAAATTCCTCCAAAGGTCACTCTGGAGCTTTTGGGGGTTCCATGTGAAGTTGCAGGGAAGTACAGTAATGGTTGTAAGACCCTCATCCATGGCCCTCAACGAAAATTCATGCACGGACCCCATAGAGCAATTTCCAGAACACAGGCTATTGCCACTTGAGTGGACATGGCAAGTGAGGGCGTCCAACACTTTGAACAACTGGGTTCCTCGACTCTTTTCATGGGCATGGTGCCGATTCAAGCAATTCTGGCGGCCCACCACCGGTGTTTTAATCTCAAGGAAGGCGTCCAGCTGCGCCCCACAACAAAACTCAGGTGAAGCCCTGGGAAACTTTCAAAAGCAACACAAAACCGAAATACAAAAGCTGAATGTGGGAATCAAAGCTTCCCTTCGGGCCTGTTTTGACATTCAGGGCAAATCTCCACCATGACTAGCGGCTCACAGTTTTGGGCGGACGCAGTCGGCCTCGCCCCTGGCCGCCGTGGAATCGGGCTGCCGGAACTGCGAGTTCCGCCCAAAGAGGTCAGAGAACTCGGAGAACATCTGGGAAGGAGACACCCACTCCTCAGTTGCTTCGTGCTGGCCGCTGACATGTCAAAGATTGGCGGGAATGGACAAATGCACGCATGCCGTTCCTTCTAGTGGTCCGACACAGGGTGGGCTGGTGAGAGCATTCCCACGCACCCCCCATTCACTCTGAGCCGCGTCGTTCTCAAAGTTCGGGAAGCCCCCCGTGTAGCCTCCGGCCCCCGCGGAGGCGCCCGCAGTCGCCTGGTCCAGGGCGGCCCGGCGCTTGGGGTCCATCAGGGTGTCATAGGCGCTGGTCAGCTCCGCCATCTTCAGCGAAGCATTCCTCTCAAACCCCAAAACGGTGACCCCGGAGAAGAAAAGAAAATGGGAACCCCCCCCCTCCCGCCAAAAAAAAAAACACGACAAAAACTCGGTAAGTTCCTTGCAGATTGGAGCTTCGCGGAACCCGTCAAACGGATCCCTGCAACGGGCCCCCGAACTTGGGGAGGTGCAGAAGCGCGCGGCCACTCATTGGTGGAGAAATCATTGGTTCACCCTTAAGTTTGGGGATGGTGGGGGAGGCACCTGCTTCAAAATGGAAGCTAGGCGCAGTGGCCGCCATGTTTTGATTGTGATTCGCGTACATGTTCCATTGCTCGGGCCGACCCAGCCTGTCGGTGTTGAGATCCTGGGCGCGCGGCCGACTTTGCCGCAAATCAAATTTGGATTTACTTCACATGCTCAAGCCACCTGCCCAGCTTTGGGCAGAAATGGATACGTGGGTGTCTTTAAAGAGAAACCCCGACAAGGACATTCAAGTTCAAGCAACGGGTTATGCAGGTGAGTGGCCCCTAACAACATGGCAACCAAGCAAATGACGAATATGTCCTGCGTACCCACCCAATGGAAAAGGCACCTGAAGATCCATGCTGTTGAGTTGGGCTCAAAAACTAGAATAGAAGTAGGAGCTTCCCAAGGCAAGCGATGAGGCGAGCATCCAAGCATCGTTTGCCTTTGGTCTATTTGCGCTCCAACACATGTAGCTTATTCCACTTCGAGGTATACCAATCTTATTCCTGGTTGTTCAGTGGCATCCTTTTCCGTTTTTGTTTGGTGGGTTTTCACTTTGGCAAGCATATCTGCATGTTTTTTGCAGGGTCACTGGGCAACTTGGTGTCCCAGAGGCAAAAGGACAGGCCTGTGCTTGGTTCACAATCATGGGCTCGCGTGTCAGCTTGGTTATGGTTGGACGGAGCTTGGTGTGGACTTTGACATTGGGCCAATTTCCGAGTGCATTCTGGAAAGGGCAACTTTGAAATACACAAGAGGGGATTCACCATTGGCAAAACTTGGCTGCGTGTCCAAATGTTGGTCAGGACTTTGTTTGGAAGGTTTGGTGCCATGTTCCCTTGCAAATTCTCAAGAGCAGTTTCTTCAAACGCGGAAACGTTGCCAACTAAAGTTGAATCTCGGCAGTTGATCAAAGCAAATCGAACAGTCCTGAACTCTTGACGGTAATTCGCTGGTCAGGGTGAGCAACATTAGCTTGGGTAGCACATTCGCTCAAATCAAAATCCATCGGTCGCGAAAATGGCCTTGACCCTCCTTGACAGCGCAAGCTGAACTCGCCCCATCCGCACTCCATCCCCCACGGCCATCTGTTCATTGTGCCGAGGCTCCGGGTGGTACTGCTTCGCCAGCACCCGGAACCTCGCCTTCACCTCCTGCGGCGAGGCGCTCCGCTCCAGGCCCATCACGCTGTACGCGTCCCGGGCGGCCAGGCACACGCTGCTGCGGAACAGCGCCGCGCAGCGCAGCCGGCCCAGAAACATGGCGTGGTCCAGGGTCGCGCGCAGCCCTCACGCCATGAGCTTTGAAAACAAGATGTGAAGTGCCCGAAAGGCTGTGGCACGGGGCGCTTAAAGTTGTGCTCTCAAAACTGCAAGCTGGAAAGTCAGGGGCCGGTGGCTGGTGGAATGGCAATTTCCAGCCCAGTCATCAGGCTCAAGACTTGATCATTGCTTTCTGATGCCTTTGCTGCGTGTTTCTAACTAGGCAACTGACGCCGCTGCTAGACGCGTTTTCCAGTGATACAGCAAGCTGCGGTAAAATAATCCCTCGTTCCAAGCACAACGGTGAGTATGACAGCGCAAAAACGTTATAATGCAAAAACGCGACAACGGCCAGCAAACCTTGGCCAGCACGACATGCCTTTGGAAGTGCCTGGCGTGGGGCGCGCGCCTTGAAATGCAATTCAAAAAGGCTGGGAAAAATTTTAAGAATATGCTTGGCACATGCACCATGGTCAAGCCCTGCCTGTGGGCTATGTGAAGAGTTTCACATGCCTTTCTCTGCCTTCAAAAAATGCGAACTCTCAGCCTTACTAGGCGTAAATTTATTCCAGGGTAGACCCCAAACAAATTGTGTGAGAAACACTCTTGTGCGCCAACGAGGAACCCGACGGTGGACACGTTTGTGCACCAACAAGGAATTTTTGCGTGCGCCCACAGTGAACACACTTGCGCGCCGACATGCGCCGACGGTGAACACGCTTATTCGCCGACGGTGAATACGCTTGTGCGCCAACAACGAACACTTGTGTGCGCCAACAGTGAACACATTTTTATTATGTTTGTTATTTGTTTATTACTTTTTATTTTATTTATTTTTTCGGGGGAATATTAATTGTTTGTTGTTTTTTTCCGTACGTTTTTTCCCGCCACGCTATCCCATCAAAACCTGTAGGGGCCCCACCGAGCACTCACAGAGGCCAACTCCTCACATGCAGGCAGGCGCCTTTCACGGGATACGGCTGCGCCCGGCAAAAGGCTCGCTCGTCGCCGTCGGTAAGTATATCGCTGACAAGAGGCGGCGGCCCGTCAAACCCTGTGGCAGCAGTAGCAGGCAGGGCACACAAGCTGAAAAAAAAAACGGCCATCGCCAAGCAAATGCGGCGCCACGCGTTGGAGACACAACGCCTCTCGCACGCACCGATGCTAGCCGCTGAACAAAATCAGCCGTCTCTGGGCTGAAGCGTCCGCCAACGTCAAGTGCCAGGACAATCAACCCGCAGCGCGAGTCGGCTCCAGGTATGCGCGTTCCTTGGCACAACGTGGTAAGCGCAGACCTGAGAGACAAGTGGATGTACCCATTCACAAGGATGCGGCCCGACAATCCGCCAACACGGGGTGAGCGCAAGAATGCGGCCCGCATGCGGCCCGGCGATCTGGCAGCATGCCCGGCAGCATGCGGCCCGTTCGATTTAAAAGTGAAAACTGTTTGGGCAAAAACGATGCGAGGCACGCGCTTCAAGCTCACAAGCCGCTCCACTCGCACACACACACACACACACACACACACACACACTTAAACTCCAGATGGAGGGTGCTAATCTTTCGAGTACAACTGATGAGTCTCGAGTACAACTGATGAGGCTCGAGTACAACTGACAAGTCTCAAGTCGGATAAGGTTCGGCTGGCAGGTCACTTGGCTTCACTCTAGTTACTTCAACAGGGAGACAGAGAAGCAACAGCGGTTCAGGGGAGGGACCAAAAGGACGTTCAGAACATCACGACTTTCTCAAATTGCAGGTACGTCCAGAAGGCGTCCCTTCCGGATTTCACGACCAAACCATCACTGTCTTCGTTGGGCTGTGAGTGATGGCGGTCCACTGCCCCCCTGCTACTAATTGTGGTGACAGGGTATTCTGCCACTCCGCACACACACGCCCCTCAGTGAGGGGCGAGAAGTCTCTTTTTCAGCAGGAAGATCACATACTCAACTTCGTATCTCTATCGTTTACCAAAATATCCACAGCGGCGAGGAGAACGCGAAACTGCCCGAAGCCGCTCAGAAGACGGGAACGAAAGATCACCACGATGAGCATGACGGGTGTCGCCATAGAAGACCGGAGGAAGTTGCAAAGCAGTCGAGCGATCACCGTCAGAAATAGGGGGGGCATAGGTGAACATCTCCTCGACTCGGATGATGTCCGAATTCTGCACGTCAACAAGTGATTGATCCTGGGCTTGATGAGTGGAGAAGGACTCAAAGCGAGAAAGAATGCGTTGGTAACCTTGATGTTGCCAGTCGCGAATTGTCCACGCCTGACTGTGTTCACCAGTCCCACCAAGGGGATCAGTTACCCGCTTCCACTCCCGAAACGAGTTGTCTGGTAGGTCAGGTACGGCTTCTTCTGGTTGCCACAGCTGAGGTTGTCCTGGAGTATAGATCCGCACCCACTCCTGATCCTGCCAGACTGAATATTCGAGCCATGGGTGCTGCTCAGCGTTTCGGCCCGACGTCTGAGTTGCATCCTCGATGTCCATGCCGAAGTGAAAGACAGGGCGTACCGCGGGTTCCGATCCAGCTAGCAAAGAAACAGTCACCATGCACAACCATGCACAACCAGCAACTACACAAGAAGGCACGAGCATGAGAAAGTACCCTTTTGTGCCATGATCAACACGCATCAGTCTATTCATCATTTAGCTCGAAGATAGGCTTCTCCTTGTTGGTGGAGCTGCATGGTTGGGTCGTAGGTAGATATGGATCAGAGACCCCAATAGACTCAGGTGGTTCAACTCCACGAGATGCACGTACTGGTTGGTGGTGATGGGACGCTTGACGCGCGCGATCCGACAGTTGCTGAGAGATCCCATCTTGAAGACGAGTGAGATCCTCAGTGGAGAAAGCCGCAGCATCCGATGATCTAAGAATCGCATTCAACATTTGCGGTGACATACACAAAGCCGATGATTGCGTGGCCACGCTATGTTGATCAGGAAAAGACATCGAATTGAAGCCGTGAACAGCTTGAGGGGCAGCGACTCGCCGGTAGCCCTCTGTGGCCCAGTCCCTTTTGTACCAAATGCTGTTGTTGGGCTGCCCGCCTTCTTGATCAAGATTTGGGACATAGAACTCCTTCCACTCTCTGTATGTATGGGGCGGAGGCGGATCATCACGTTCGCCCTGTGGAGTCCATGATCCCGGATGAAAAATCTTGACCCATTGAGCATCTGGTTGTTGAGGATCCGGACACCACTCCAGCCACGGCATGACAACTCAAACCCTTGATGCAAAATCGAGAGGTGCACGGCTGCAGACTACAAGCACTACATGTGACACAACAACAAACATGCAAGCAAACACTTTTGTAGCAAGGCGCGGCTCAGGTGTCGAAGTCACTCGCCCCAATCAAATTGAATACCATGGAAAGACGAGGACGAACATCAGCCACCATCCGAGTTCGAGGATGCCGACGAAGAGGACAGCCCAGCGTACATGAGGTCTGGTGATCCCGAAGCGAAAACTGGACGTGCAATGTTGGGGCGCGGATGGCCGAGCCGTTGATATCCTCTGGTGACCCAGTCACGATACTGCCATGTGTAAAAGGATGCATATGAGACCGGCTGGGAAACAGAGCCCAGAGTGGTGCCTCCTGTGCTGTCACCAGGCCAATACACGTCGAAGTGGTAGAACCTGCGCCATTCCCGATAGGTTGTTGTGTCATCCGGAGCCGGTCCCAAGGTGGATTCGGCGACTGGTTGCCACGGACCGGGTACATAGACTCGAATCCATTCAACGCTTGTGCTCGCAGGGCCATTGACGATGTCGTACTCAAAACAGCGTGGTAGGGACCATCTTGCAGTGCCACATATTGTGGACGCTTTGAGGCAAAAGGGAGCGGCGAAAACATGCAGAAGGAAAGCACAACACAAGCCAAGACAACCCAAGTTGATGCAGCAATCAAATCAGGCACAATCGCATCGTTTTAACCGACATGTTGCTCAAGCATCAATCCGATTCGTTCCAATCAAAATTAGGATCATAGCTCGGTGGGGGAGAAGGTTCCCGCCACGCCCCATCCGGAACTGAAGACTCCGACGAGGAAGTAATTTCTTCATTCACGAGCTCCGTCGATCCAATGGTTGGTCGTGGATTGCCAAGGCGTTGATAACCTCGCGTGTTCCAGTCTCGGAATTCCCACACGTGATATGACACGTACGATATGGGCATGACATTGGGGTCCGCAGCTGTCCCCCCGGTGCTGCCTGCGGGCAAGTACACGTCAAAGTGATATGACTTGCGCCACTCCCGATACGTGGAAGCGTAGTCCGGGGCACGTCCCAGGGTAGCTGTGGCCACAGGTTGCCACGGTCCCGGTGTGTAAATTCGAATCCACTCCACGCCTCTCTCGATGTGGTACTCAAAATAGTGCGGGTACATGATAGCCAAATGTGTCGTCACAGTGCTGTTGAAAGAAAGCGCAAAGCCAAGGGATCTGCGGCGAAACACTCATGCCATGACAACCCTGACTGCAATGTGAATGTGTTGAGCAACGCAATGCAAGGCAACTTTTCAAACTGAAGGCGGGACGAATCAACAAAGTCTGTAGTACACGACAACTATGATTCACCGCCGCTGATGCCGCACACACCTGCAATGGTAATGTCCTGGTCGGCGACGAGCACAGGGAGAAAGACACTTCCATCCATGATGTAGAAAAGCATGACAGTAATTCTTGCAACTTGTCGACGCAGACCGTGATTAGCCGAGATCTCCGCATGACAGAAGCGGATGTTGTTCGAGAGCATTTTGGAGAACGCGTGAGACTGCGTAGATCATCATCACGGGACTGGTCAGCGCTGCGAACAGAGCGGCGTGCGCGCTGAGATTTCATGGTGGCCGGGCATGACTGTCCTCGAGGAGAGGGGCTCGAGGAGGCTCGCAATGAGGGCATAAACTGTGGGTGAAGAATCACCGGTGGTGGTGGTGGAGGAGGTGGAGGTGGAAGAAGTATTGGAAACCGTGGCGGGGTTGGAGGTGAGGCAGTCAATCGAACTGGTCTGTCAAGCAACGTACCAGGCCCGTGAAACTGTAACCACGTCGGCTGCGCTCCATGG